CCGAACCTCTTTCACTTAATATAATTACTTGAAGTACCCCTGAGCTTTTAAAATAAATATTTTAATAATTAAATATCACATTTGCATGTTCACGGTTAATGGTCGCATGACATGCAGGTAAACAAATAAAATACATTTTTAGTAAGTGTTTTATTTTGATTGATGTTATTTTAAAAATGAAAAAAAAAAAATTTCAAAAATAAATTTGTTTCAATTTTATATTTTTATGATTTAATTAATTATTTGCTTGTTTTTCATTACACTCACAAACCCCTTGCAGTACCTTTATGAACCCCAGTTTGGGAAACCTTGATAATGTAATGTAATGTTTAATGCACTTCATGCTGTCAGTAACAACAAATGGAATGTATTTTCTTTTTCTTTGCATTTTTATATGGTGTACAGTATGTGGAAAATAATGTGTTTTTTGAACCTTAAACCGCATAAACACATTTCATTACACCAAATACACAAAATAATGTTCTTTTTAGCAACATCATATGACCCCTTTAATACTTTAATACTGCAAAATGTTTATTTTTTACTTTTAAAAACATTGTATATGTATTCATTTCACCACCTTGGCCATGATCCAATCTTTATTCCAGGCCATTTCATAAACGTTTTAACATAGAAAGTTTTGTTTTTCAAGATTTCAAGTCAAAAGTAATTGAAGCCCAATTAAAGTTAGGTTAGGCGATTTCCGAGAGGTTAGCTTTGAAAGCATAAGATCCCACTCTCCCTGCAAATCACTCTCCAAAGCCAGGCCTCCTCCAAAACACATGAACGCGCACAGAGTCTAACCAGCGACACAATGAGAGATGGCATTTGTGGAGGTTTGAATGCAACGCTGTCAGATTACCTCGTGTCTCATTCAACGGTGAGAAAACTTTACAGTACACAACGCATAATATTAATAAAGGGGCACCAAGGTATGCAAATACATACGTTGACAGGCAGGTAGGACAGCCTATAGCCTAGCCCTCGACCGAGGGATATGATTGGACGAATATTTTATGGTCTTATGTCTTCTTCCACAGACAATATAAATACATATAAATACAGTTAGACCACTTATGATGATTGCTATCGGGATGTGAAGAGATTTTCAACCAGCATAACAAAAATGTTTTTGAACCAAATCACCCACCCTGCCTTTAAGAGCAGACGTTTATGAAACTTTATGACTTATAATGTTGAATGAGTTTTGTTGTGCATCAAAATAGATCACGCATTTGTAACAATGATGAGGTAGCCTACACAGTGAAAGCATGGTCAAAGAACAGATGACAGAGAATAACATCAGTGTAGGTTGCAAAATATTTATTAAGCCATAAGTTTCATAAAGTAACTTTATTTCAATATTCTATATTTGCTCTGCTATTGGAAATCAGTTTAGCTATAATCATTCAGATGTTCTGGGAATTTTTAACACCGGGAGCCTGTGCCATGATGGTAGTTGAACAAATTCAGAGTTACAGGATTAGTTTCGAGTTGACAAAACCAAACCACTCCAATCTGGCTTTGTTGGTATGATGCTGATCATCAACTTTCTTTGTCAACTCAGGCTTTGATGAGTTTGTGAAGCGCGTGCACATGAATGTGTGACATCAGTGGCGAACAGCCAAAGCAGCAAGGGTGATTCACTTCTCGAGAGATTCAAAACTCTTTTGCTAAAGGTTAAAGGGATAGTTCACCTTCAGTTGCTGGTCCCCATTGACTTCTATAGTATGGAAAAAAACACTATGCAAGTCAATGGGGACCAGCAGAAGGTGAACTATCCCTTTAAGAGATTGAAGAATATGAGGAATTTAAACGCATTTAAGCTGAAGAAAGTACTTGTCCATGAACGAGGAACAAAGAAAATAAATGATCTTGCTCTGTCAGTGCAGTCACAAGTGAAACTTGTGAAGTTTGTTTATATAGTTGATCAAATATAGCAATAGAGACTCGAACATGTAAGGTCACATGTAGTCATTTTTAAAGCATTATCTATTGATTCTACAGCTTATTTATATTACATATGATCTGTATATATTAATATTAATTTAAAATAAATGCTTTATTATAATTGTTAAACTAAAATTGCTTGTGTGTAATGGATTAATAATAATATAAATCATATAATAATTATATAAATCATGTATAAATCACATAAAATAATTCAAAGTAATTATCATTAAAGCCAGACAAGTTTGTTGTTAAATTATTTATTTATTTTACTATATAGTGACCTTTAATTTGGAGGAAGAGATACTGGGGGAGTGACTTTTCTGAGTCAGACATGTGTCACTTTGCTCACATCTGATTGGTCCAATTTCAGTTTGAGCTCATCCTGCTTTCATTATATTTCATTATAGTTGGTAATACGCCCCAAACAACAATCATAACTTTGGAAACTAACGAATTTAAACTCGGCTCATCAAGGATAAGTGTAAGGTTCACATTCTTAACAATTGTAATATCACCACCTAGTGGAAGTGATTAAAACTACATGGATTCGTGTTCGACGTCAGGACGTCATTAGGAACACAGAGGTATCCACAACCTGATTACGTCAACTTTCAGATGGGTCAGTCTTTTTAATCGGTCATGACTATTTGAGACTTATTTTAGCAACCGTTGTGATTCGACAATATTTAAAGTACTCCAAATACTTAATAACGAATTCGGGAATTTACCGCACAAAATTCTGCCGTGACCCGGATTCGAACCGGGGTTGCTGCGACCACAACGCAGAGTACTAACCACTATACGATCACGGCGAGCCACCTATAGGACGAGCGCATAGGCGAAAATTTAGAGGGATGATTGTTAAATCAGCCACATAGGCTGCGTTTTATAGTCTCTTGTATATCTCTTTGGTTTTGAGACTTTAGTCTTTGCAACTTCAGGGATCTTATCTATGCACAATCAGCTTGTAACACTCCAAAGAGAAAGGAAAACTTGAAATCGCATCATATGACCCCTTTAAGGCTTTCACGGAGCATACTGATGAACTGCTGTTGTCGCAACTTATTTTCATGTTGTAAAACAATACATTTGTGCGTAAAAGTGTAAGTTCACCACTAATTCAGGACTGAGACAGTTGTCCCTTTCTATTTTAATATACTTTAAAATGTAATTTATTCCTGTGATACGAAGATGATTTTTCAGCATCATTACTCCAGTCTTCAGTGTCACATGATCCTTCAGAAATCATTCTAATATGCTGATTTATTATCAATGTTGAAAACAGTTGTGCTGCTTAATATTTTTATGGAACATGTGATACTTTTTTCAGGATTCTTTGATGAATAAAATGTATAAATCTTTTCTAACAACACAAGTCTTTGCTATCAACAATTTAACATATCCTTGCTGAATAAAAGTATTATTTTCTTTCAAAAAAGAAAGAAAAAAATTTACACAAATACACATCACCTGATATGCATTAAATCCAATAAGCATTCAAGTTTATACAGCTTGGACTTGGAAATTATGGATAAAATGATGATATGGTCAAAATCATCACTTGCCTAATAATTGTGCACACAGTGTAAGCAGCACAACTGTTTCCAACATTGATAATAAATAAGCATCATGTGACACTGAGGACTGGGGTAATGGCTGATGAAAATTCAGCCTTGCAACACAGGATTAAATTATATTTTAGAGTACATTAAAATAGAAAACTATTATTTTAAACTATATTTTATTTATCACCCTAAATCCTAGTACATCCCTACAACTTTATTTTATTTTATTCTATTCCTATTCTATCTATAGCACACCTGTACATACAATTTATTCTTTTTTTGTGGTTTATATTTATGCATGTGTATTTTATTCACATCTTATTTTTATTATCTGTGTGTTGTTGTTGTCTCCGTGTACTGGAAGCTTGTGACACTATAACAAATTCCTTGTATGTGCAAACATGCTTGGCAATAAAGCTCTTTCTGATTCTGATATCTGATTCTGATTAAATTGCAATAATTTTTCACAATATTACTGTTTTTTTCTGTATTTTTGATCAAATCAATGCAGCCTTGATGAGATGAGCATTAGACACTTCTTTATAAAACATAGGCCCAAAAGATCTTACTGATCCCAAACTTTTGAACGGCAGTGTATATATACGCATAAATGCATAATGTTCACTATCTATATTTGAACAAAAGGGCATGTTTAATGTTATTGTTACTCAATTAAAACAAAAAACTCAAATAACAAAATAACACTGAGCATAACACTAGGCTAAAACTTCTCAGATATCCAATTTTTGTGCTCTTTCTCTAATTCAATTCATTTTCCAGTTACACCCAAATAACATAAGGACGCCTGGAAACTACCTTTAACTTTTTAACATGCAGTAAATTCCAGGTTTTCCATAAAAGCAATGATGTTGTGATGTGTTCTTGTTCTTGTCTGAGGTTGTCATGACAGTGACACTCAAAAGTTGTTGTTGGCTATTTGACATTAAAGACCTGCAGCGTGACATGCTTAATCTAGTTTTTCATTTGTCACACCATTTTCGAATTTCAGCGATCTGTGATTAAAATTATGATAAACAAAAGAAACTGGGACCAGTTATAGAACATAAAACAGTTTCCCTTTTACATATAATTAGTTTTAACCTAAAATCTTGATATTTGCATCATGTCTACCCTGTTACAAAAGAATATTTTAGTCTTTGCAACTTCAGGGATCTTATCTATGCACAATCAGCTTGTAACACTCCAAAGAGAAAGGAAAACTTGAAATCGCATCATATGACCCCTTTAAAGGGGACGTTAACATTTAAATTACATTTTAATTCACATTCTAATCTAAATGGTTTCCATATGTTCGATTGTGTTTTTTTTCTGTATTGTTTTGGGGCTGAAATTTACTTGACGTGGAGTGTGTTTGCCCTTTGAAATTCCTCTTTAGGGGAAGTAATTCTTAAAGCGTTAGTTTGATAATGCCTGACCTCTTAACTGTCTTTTTTTTTCTTTTTTTCTTTTTTATCCAGACTTGTCTCAGCTCTGTCCATTAGAATGAGTGATCCGGCTGTAAAGAAGGTGGTGAGTGATATCATTCGTTCTCCAGAAGACAAACGGGAGTATCGAGGACTTGAGTTTTCAAATGGGCTGAAAGCCATTCTCACCAGTGACCCCACCACTGACAAATCATCAGCCGCGCTGGATGTCCACATAGGTAAACAGGAAGAGTGTTTCTTTATTGTTTGCTCCATTTTGCACATATTTCTCCACTTATTGTTTTGTGCTCCCTTCTATTTGAATGCAGGCTATTTATTACTAACCTGAAGGACATCTTAGCCTCAAGTCTTCATTATTGGCCATCAATAACTGCGTATTAACTGAATTGATTGGGTTGCCTCTGTCTGTCTCTCTCTATAGCTTTCAACTTCACAAAAAGCAACTTTTAATAGTCCAGGCCTTGGCAGCTGCCCTTGCTCTGGTTTTATGTCTTTGTTGTAGAGAGAAACCCACGAGAGTTTTGAATAATTTTGTTTCTGAACAGACCACTCTGCACAAGTCATTGAAGGCTTCCTTGTGTCACTTTGAATCTTTTCAGCCCTTTAAGAAAATAAAAGTGTAACTTTAAACAATTGATTTGAATTACAGCTGGAGCGTCACAGACTTTCAGCAATCAAATCACTTTATAAAGCAAGAGTGTTTAAAGAACCGTCCATTGAATGAAATGTTGAAATGTGTAAGAAGAGATGTACATTAGATAGAAAGATGTGTCATTGCTTTTCTTTAATACTCACTTATTACATTTTAAAAGAGCTTTTTGATAATAAGGCCAGAATCACATTTGAATGCATTGAGGTCATGTATTTTTTTTTCTTTTCCTAGGCTTTGTTCATGCATTTTCAATCCGCAAAGGACTAGCTTAACAAACAGATTCAATCATTTAGACAATGACACAATGCTGTCAGTGGTCCTTAATGAAAAATAAACAGAATTTGGTTAAAACATTCATAAATCAGTTTGTGAAAATTGCTGCATTTATTTCAGTGTAACAATGTTTTACATGGGATTTGTGCAAATTCATTCTCCTTGTGTTGCATGAATTTGTTTCTTGAAAATACATTCATTTTCGACCGAGTTTGAGTTGAAATACTGATTTGCTGTAACTGATTCTAGTGTAAATTGTCCTATTGAATTGAGTAACGTTGTTTTGCAAACAACTTACACATTTGTGTTCATGCATATATTTTCATTTTACTTTATTACTGTTCAGGCTACAAACTAAATGGATTTGAATTGAATTTGTGCTGCCTGTCTGAACAATGCCTAAAGGCTTGGAAACCTACCTGTCTGACTGACTAGTATATTATGGTTCAGCTGGTTGTCTAAGTGTTTAATGCCTTTAATACTGTAGCTCACCTTCATACAGACCTTTGTGTAACTATGGATTTAAGCATGAGGTTCTTGAATATGCCTGAACCTGTTGTCATCCAGTGAAGTCAACTCGATTTACAAGTTTGTCAAGCACTTTTTTTGTGTCATAGTGCAAGCTAGCGGTATTTTCTTGCACTTCTTAATCTCCTGCTTTTCTCTTCTTACTATCCTGCAGGTTCTTTGTCAGATCCCAAGAACATTTCAGGATTGGCCCACTTCTGTGAGCACATGCTGTTTCTAGGGACTGAGAAGTACCCCAAAGAGAATGAGTACAGTCAGTTTTTGAGCGAGCACGCCGGCAGCTCTAATGCCTTCACCAGTGGAGAGCACACTAATTACTATTTTGACGTATCCCATGAGCATCTACAAGGGGCTTTGGACAGGTAAATAAATAAATAAAAAAAAAGAGCAATTGGTGAATTATTAAAGAGCCATCTGGAATGCTGGTCTGTTTTAGATGCTGAAGAGTGATGTGTGCGCTGTTTGAACTTACGAAAACGCGAACAGGGTTCAGACCTTCAGGTGTCACGATGCCTTTCAGTGTGGCGTTACATGTCCAGGAGGAATCGGGTTGCTGGGATATAGAGAGGAGAGTTTCCCCCAGAGCCCATCTGCTCCTGTGACCCAGAACACCACCTGCTTATTGTAACATTTGAATGATTCATGATAAATCTCCAAAAACTGGGTCATGACTCAGAATTTTGCAAACATATCAGTGGACACTTTAGAAAGCACTTTGTACGTGTTTGACAGGTAGGAATGTGAAGGATACATTTTGAGGGTGTGGAAAAAGATGAGGCAATCAGACATGAGCGACCATTTGAAATCAGTCGGACACATGGCGAATTGGATGTCTGAAAGCACACCTGCACCCGCCTCTCTGAAATTCTCATTGGTCAGCAGATGTGTATGTACATGTGTTGTGTAGCAAAAGTTAATATTCTTAACTGTTGTTTGCAGTACGGAATGTCACTTTTGCAAACTGCATTGCATGTTTTGCAATGCACAATCCTTGAAGTCATTGGATTCATATGAGCTTTGATGCGTATTAAACTCTAGTTTGTATTGTAGGTGCACTTAAGCTTGCCATTTGTCCATTTTATTGTCAGTCTCGCCAGATTATAGTGGGATTATGGCAAATCTTAAAGGCTGTGACTGTGTTGTATTAATGTTATTTGAAATCTATATTTTTGGCCCTATTCCATATTTAAGGTGTTTTTCCCCCTTGCATATTTATGATAAACAGTGCAGATCACCATGTCACTTGCAGCAGTGTTAGTCACTGTGTACATTTATTTGCATGGCAGTTGCCATTCATGTCAATTTGCATGTTTTTCATTTCAGGTTTTATTTATACAAATGTCTTACATTTGTATAAATACAGCTGTAGGCTAACATTTGATTGTTCAAACAGACTTATTCTAAATAGTGCATTAAATGTTTTTTGACTGACTTTGTCTCGTAGATTTGCCCAGTTCTTCCTCTGTCCGCTGTTTGATGAGAGCTGTAAGGACCGAGAGGTGAACGCAGTGGATTCAGAACACGAGAAGAACCTCATGAATGACGCATGGCGGCTTTTTCAGTTGGAGAAAGCCACTGGGAACCCCAAACATCCTTTTAGCAAGTTTGGCACTGGTATGGAAATGCTTCATGCTTGATTTAATCTCTTTCATGTGTATATACTGTCCCATCGTCTCTGTTTGAAGACCTAAGATAATTTGAAACACGCCTTTTTCCCATCACAGGGTACCGTAATTGTCTATACTTCATTCTCAGTGAAGGACAGTGGAAAGATAATGTCTAGATCAATTTCGCCTAATCTTCTTTGAGGAGATTTATTGTGCCCAGAATAGCCAGATGGTGGCAGGCTTGAGTTATATAAGACTTGCTTAGTCTTAAAGTGGTATGCTCTGTCCTTTATCCTCATGCTAACCAGCACCATTCAGAGAAAAACTGTTCATTCAATTGATGAAATGAATGCTGTCAAACAAATGTTTATTGGTAACTACATCAGACTTTCTCTAGAAAGTTTAAGGTTTAGCTCAAACCTATTGAGTTCAAAATACAACTATTGATGTAAGACAAATTTCAGTCCAATAAAATGCTCTCCAACAGATGTATATGTTAGTGTTTTGCAGCAAAAAGTAATATTCTTAACTTTTGTTTGCATTACGTAATGTCACTTTTGCTAATTGTTTGCTTTTTTTTTTTTTTTGCAATGCACAATCCTTAATCAGTGGATTCATGTGCTTCATAAGGAATTCATAAGAGCAGATGGGTAACACACTGATCTGACAAAACCCAACAAACGTGTTTGTTGCCATTTGTCTGTCTGTCAGTGCAGTGTGAATTGACCTTAATTAAATACCATCTACCACTCATATAATGGTACAGCAACAGTTTAAAGATTTTTAAAAAAATGCCCTAATGATGTCTGTGGGCCACTTCATCAGAACAGTCACCCTCAGATCTTGGTTGAATTCATATGGCCACGCTCCAAAGCGAACACAGGTTCACTTTCTTCATCAACTCTTTGAGTCAGGCAGGTCTGTAGCCGTAGGTCAGGGGTAGGCAAGTTCGGTCTTCGAGAGCCGCAGTCCTGCAGAGTTCAGCTCCAACCCTGAAAAAAAAATCACCTGCCTATAGCCTTAGTAATCCTGAAGACATTGATTAGCTTGTTCAGGTGTGTCTGATTAGGGTTGGAACTGAACTCTGCAGGACTGCGGCTCTCTAGGACCGAACTTGCCTACCCCTGCCGTAGGTGAAGCTTGTGTAAATTTAAAGTTGTCTTCATCTCTTGGTACAAACTGTCAAGTGCCTATTGACTGTCCTTTATATTCTTATCAGTGCTGGTTGTTTTACACTAATTTATTTGTGTTTTGTGATTTTTGTCTCTTTAAGGCAACAAGTTAACCCTTGAGACAAGGCCATCTAAACAGGGCATCGATGTCCGTGAGGAGCTGCTCAAGTTTCACTCCACCTACTATTCCTCCAACTTGATGGGATTATGTGTGCTGGGCAGAGGTCAGTCATTGGCCACATAACCAATCTTAAATCGATTTCTTAAATTTGCACTTGCTAGTGGATGAAGAACATTTGCATTTCCTCTTGTAAATCTGCAAAGTATTCACATCGACTCTGTTAAATAAAAAACTAAAAATCTGAAACAAACAGCCTCAGATTTTTGTATGTAAATGTAGCTGACATTAAACCCAATGATCTGTGAGCTCCATTCAAGGCACGGCAGATTTTTCACTTCAGTCTCAGTCTGACACTGAATCTTTCATGAGATCTGTCTTGTTCTTTGTCATTCTGATGAATGATTCATAATTTGTTTGTGCACAGACTAGTATGTATTATGAAGGGTGCAGAGATTAAGTTTTCAGTTTGAGTTTAACATTGTGTCTCACGTTTTTTCAGAGTCGCTGGATGATTTGACATCTATGGTGGTGAAGCTTTTTGGAGAGGTTGAGAACAAGAATGTCCCTCTCCCAGAATTCCCATCACACCCTTTTCAGGAGGAACACCTGAGGGTGAGATCTAAACCTCAGTCATGCACCCTACACCCTAAACCTGCTTCTTGTTGGAGACATCTAACAGAAATGCTTTATCAGAACTGACCTTTTGGTGTTATACACTTCCATTCAAAGTTTGACGTCAGTAAGATTTAATATATTTTTTAAAGAAGTCTTACTCTAAGCAAGAGTGCATTTATTTAATAAAAATACAGTAAAAACAGTAATGTTGTGAAATGTTATTGCAAATAAAATAACTGTTTTCTATTTTAATATTTTTAAAATGGAAATTATTCCTGTGATGCAAAGCTGAATTTTCAGCATCATTACTCCAGTCTTCAGTATCACATGATCCTTCAGAAATCATTCAAATATGTTGATTTGCTGCTCAAGAAAATTGATCAGTGTTGAAAACAGTTGTACTGCTTAAAATATTTCAGAATTCGTTGTTGAATAGAAAGTTCAAAAGAACAGATTATTTAAAATGATAAAAATTAATCATTGTTCAATTACATTTAAATGATTATCAATTTGATGTATTTTTTGCTGAATAAAAGTATTACATTCTTAAAATCTTATTGAACTCAAACAGTAGTATAAAGTTAATGACGGGTAATGTCCTTTGAGTTTGTGAATGAGTAATTCTGCTGCATTAAACCCATGTTTGTAGTAGGGATGGGCGGTATATCGAGTTTGTACGATATATCGATATTTTCTTTACAAGTGATTCGATATGAGGCAATACCATTTATATCCATATACAGTAGTTTGATACGAGCGCATCTGAAAATATAGCGGAGGACACAGACTGAGCTGCTGCGGAGAAAGAGCATGATCCAATTTGTTCTAAACATGTGACAAGCAACGAGCCGTTTTAGGTAGGCGTGGCTGACTCTTAACTTTTATAAAGAATATCTCTTTGGATTTGAGACTTTAGTCTTTGCAACTTTACAGATCTTCTTTATGCACCAAGAGCTTGTAACACTCTAAAGAGAAAGGAAAAAATGAAATCGCATCATATGACCCCTTTAAGGCCTTTAAAAACTGATAAGTCATAGTTTATAGTTTCGTTTCGCATGTTAGTTTAAGCGGCTCAGCCCATCATATGCTCTGACAGAAAGGCTGTGTGTGCCGGGAACCGCGGGACCTGACCGGATTTTTGCACTGCGGGATTAAATTCCCGAATAAAACGCGGTAGCGGTCGGTAACTCTGGTGTAATTTGAACGGGAGCGGGCGGTCTAACAATATCCCGTTCCCGACGTCCATTTAGAACAGCATATCTGCGCTTTATTCTTATTGACCACCGATACAGCTTGCGCTCAGGACTGTTATGCACGCGCTGCACGCATGCTTTAAACGTCACG